AAATGTTCCGGAGGGCTTGGCAGCGAAAGGGTTAAAACACCCAAAAATGCTAAAAACAAAATCACCGCTGTTCTGATATTTTCTCACTTCCTGTTGAGTCTACAGGACAGAAAGGTAAGGGAAAATGCTCTCTAATAAGACACAGGTTGGAAAAAAACCTTACAATAGTGTTATCCTCCCCTACGCTATGCAAAATGAAAAAAAAATGGCTTCATATATACTTTAACTATCATGGCAAAGCATCTATTGTTTTTCAAATTAATATCCTACAAATCTACCAATTATTTAATTATAATAGACATCAGTGTTCACTAACTCAGCATTTACAGCTGTTCCCTGTTATTTTCAGTGTCTCATATAATAGATACTTTATATTGCTGTTGAGTTGGATATTAGGAGCATACATCCTTTGGTGACAGTGTAAAAAACATATTTTCCCTTCAACATCAAAAGTGAAACAGCATTTAAAATATCATTTGTATAACATATGACTATCAATTTAGAATAAATGAGATAAATGAGCTGTTGCAGATCTTACTCCATAGGACATAACATGCTCGTAACAGCTACCATTACATTTTTATTAGGATATAATATTACTGGAATGATATTATTGTTGTTATTATTATTACTATTTAGGATTTATATTGCACCAACAGTTTGTGCAGTACTTTAACATAAAGTTGTTCCCTACAAGTATGGTAGTGTTCTACCTCTAAGGTTTATGCATGTTCATACTGAATGCCTTTGTGTCCCAGGTAAAAGAGAGCATATGGCATGGTAACAATACCTTATATCCCCTCCTTTCTGTATAGTGGCCACCAAATGTACAAAGGGTGGAACTTGATTGGAGGATTTAAATAATGTTGCTGTTTACCACCCATGTGGGATGTGCTAAGCAAAGAAAATAATGGACAGGTCTTTAAAGTAGAAGACTCACAGTAACACAATTGAAAAGTGGGGAGTTGTGTAACAATTGTTTACATAGAGTATATTCCCATATATCAAAATATCTAATGAAGATATTACACAACAAAACATTATATGGTAACAGGACCCTGCTCATGGGAGCTTTCAATCTACAAGACGGAACAAGTAATACAGAAGGTAATAACTGTTGAGAGATGATCTGACTAAGGCCTTGTTCACACCAAATGCAGAGCAGATCTGCATGAGTTTCTGCACATGCAGTGCAGTGGGCTGTGCCACGTTTTTGATGTATTCCGTGCCGTTTTTGGTTAAAAATTTTGTTTTTTTTAAAATGGGCTTTCAGTGTGTTCCAGGCATTTGCATGTGTTTTTGATGCATTTGCATGTATTCCAGAGCAGGTAAAATAGTGCCTGCTGCAGTTTTTTTACCTGCTATGGAACTGAACGCCGCGATGTGAACTGGAGCTAAAAATACCATTGGAATACATTGGACGCAGTTTTGCTCCGGTCTGTAACTGCTCTGATCTGCACCTGCTCTGTGCTTGGTGTGAACAAGGCCTTAAGGTGCCCATACACTGCTCGATTCTCGTACGAGAATCGGGCGAAATCCCGCGATCGTACGAGAATCGAGAAGTGCGAACTAAGACGTGCAACCGTTTCTACTGTACGGTCGCACGTCTTTTGTCGAGCCAACATGCTCGGCGGGTTTCTAGCCTGCTCATTCTGCATTGCCGTCATCGGAAGCCCGCCCCTCAGCGGGGCGGGCTTTCGATGATCGCAAGTACGATCTGCCTGTCCAAGGTGGGCAGATCGTACGGGCTTTCAAGAAGCATACGACCATCGCAAGACAGGTGTATGGGCACCTTTAATCTACCTTTTAGCATAACCTTCCTGTCCCAGTAAAATTAAGTAGCTATATATACAGAACGTGTACCAGCTGAGCAAATTGAAATGAACCTTTTAGCATAAACTTCCTGTCCCAGTAAAATTAAGTAGCTATATATACAGAACGTGTACCAGCTGAGCAAATTGAAATGTTAAATGTATGGTCTGGCAGCTAATGCTAGAAATACAGCACTACCCTATTTCTTACTGCTGCTGAACAAGTCTCAGGTGCTGCCAAGTTTTGCCTCAATTTATCTGAATAGGTGAGACAGTATGTAGCAGATTGGCACCTGGAAAAGTTTTTTTAAGTGAAGACTGCACTCTCCAAACAGTCTAACCAGGTAGATAAGGCAAGAATGTGCTAAATTTTCTCAGCTTAACAAAGACTTTCCCAGCTTACTATAAGTACGATAGCTGATTTCAGTTGACCGTCAATTATTTTATGCTAGTTTTATTTAGTTTAGATTGCCTGGGAGTGGGCTGAAGTTGATGATATAATGCATGTTTCTCTTTACATTTAAAGGGAGTTTAATCATGGAAATGTAACAGTGGACACCATATTGCTTTCTCGGGCTCATATTAGGCTTCATATGGCCAACAACCTTACAGGAGCTTTAACAAGTGCATTGAATTTTGAGATACAACATTACAATGCAGCCTATTCTCTTATGAGGACCCTTAAGTTTAATGTACTGGAATGTGGCTCATGTGTATTTGCAATGCTTGAAACAGGATTGCTACCAAACAAATGAATGGTGTCTCGCGAATGAACAACAACATCTAAAACATTAGATAACAAAACTGAATTTAGTAAAAAAAAATAAAACATGGTTTCATGTGACTGTACTATCCTGAACCATGCGCTTCTTCTGACATTTTCTACTATGGGCAGTCAGGCATACTTTTAAGGTCTCATTTAGGTAATCGGGCTCCTAGTAATGTCTGCATGACCAGAGACGTACATAGCACGTCGCTGGCAGCGGGCCCGTTTAAACAGACTGTCGGCCTTACAATACAAGTGATTGTAAGCCCTCTAAGGGTATTGTGTTGCGTCTTGGGGCATTTAAGTGCATTTTTCCCTAAATTTGATTTGATAAGGAGGTGCACTAATGCAACATAAAAATTTGCCACTGCTGATATTTTATTCTACAGTGTCTTGGCTTTCAGAAAATGAATACTGTTTGGGGTTTTGAAATAATTTTCAGGCCTAAAATGTGGATTATAACATGGGTGTTAAAAATGGGGAAAAAAAGGCTTCGGCCAAGGCCTCGGGGTTAATCCTACATTAATAATCCAAATGCTCATTTGTAGCATCTGAATCTGATGGGTGTCAATCAAGAAGACACATTAGTCAGGGGATGCAAAGATGTGTTGCATTAGTATTGTAACCATAGAGTATTTTGGTATTTTAACCAAGACATTTATGTGTGTATTTTGTTGTTTTATAAGTGTTCATACTTAATGTTTTACTTTTTTTCACTTTTGACTCCTGGTCTTCTTTTTTTTCTAGGTATATTTCATCTTAAAGTACCAGAAAGTTCTCCAGTGGGATCACCAATTGGAAGGATAAGAGCTGTGGATCCTGATTTTGGAAAGAATGCTGAAATTGAATACAGCATTGTTCCTGGAGATGGTGGGAATCTGTTTGACATCAAAACAGATAATAATACACAGGAAGGAATACTTATCTTAAAAAAGGTATTTCATGAAACACATTGCACACTATATTTTCATTGCTGCTAAAATTATGTCTGTGATCAATAATGTGTTAATTAACCAATAGCAATCACCGTTTAGTGCACATATTAGGTAAGAAACATATGAACTCTAATTTGTTGGTGTGGGTTATGGGACTTAGCACCTTGCTTAACCGGTTGTGGACACTGTGGATGCTACACGCACCCAAAAAAACATTACAAATATCCTATCCTTCTGCTTCACTGATACTCCCCCTCACACTTTTTGGCAATTTCCTGTTGTCAAAATACAGTGGTGAGTCGTTGTGTAAATATGAATTATCTGCAACATTGTTCAGATGCGAGATAGTGATACAAAGTAATACAAAGATACAATGCTTTCTGCTTCATTCATCTGCAAATTGAAGGGATGAACTTTGATCTGCATATTATTTCAGTTTCAGGCAACTTATAATAATTCAATGTAGTGCAACACTATACCCTTATATGTGCCCTAATATATATA